AAGCCGAAATCTATGAAAAAAGGCACTCAGAAAAATTGAAAAATTGATAAACCACCCCAAATTGCTTAACACAATTTTATCTCAGGAATTATAAGTGCAAATGAGTTGAAATTTTCAGGGATTGTAGTCCTTTGAAAGGGATAAAATTCAGTGAAAGTTTCAGCTTTCTATCTATAATAGAAAAAAAGTTATGACTTTTCGAAGTTTTCCAAAATTTAAATCATAAGGTAGGTACCTTCTTACTAAAACGATGAAATTTCAAATTTTTTTTTGTCGAGATTTTGTATCCTAATGGTCAATCAATATACCCCAAACTCCATACAGTGAATTATTCTCAGATTTGAAGCCGAAATCTATGAAAAAAGGCACTCAGAAAAATTGAAAAATTGATAAACCACCCCAAATTGCTTAACACAATTTTATCTCAGGAATTATAAGTGCAAATGAGTTGAAATTTTCAGGGATTGTAGTCCTTTGAAAGGGATAAAATTCAGTGAAAGTTTCAGCTTTCTATCTATAATAGAAAAAAAGTTATGACTTTTCGAAGTTTTCCAAAATTTAAATCATAAGGTAGGTACCTTCTTACTAAAACGATGAAATTTCAAATTTTTTTTTGTCGAGATTTTGTATCCTAATGGTCAATCAATATACCCCAAACTCCATACACTGAATTGCTCTCAGATTTGAAGCCGAAATCTATGAAAAAAGGCACTCAGAAAAATTGAAAAATTGATAAATCACCCCAAATTGCTTAACACGATTTTATCTCAGGAACTATAAGTGCAAACGAGTTGAAATTTTCAGGGATTGTAGTCCTTTGAAAGGGATAAAATTCAGTGAAAGTTTCAGCTTTCTATCTATAATAGAAAAAAAGTTATGACCTTTCAAAGTTTTCCAAAATCTAAATCATAAGGTAGGTACCTTCTTACTAAAACGATGAAATTTCAATTTTTTTTTTGTCGAGATTTTGTATCCTAATGGTCAATCAATATACCCCAAACTCCATACAGTGAATTATTCTCAGATTTGAAGCCGAAATCTATGAAAAAAGGCACTCAGGAAAATTGAAAAATTGATAAATCACCCCAAATTGCTTAACACGATTTTATCTCAGGAACTATAAGTGCAAACGAGTTGAAATTTTCAGGGATTGTAGTCCTTTGAAAGGGATAAAATTCAGTGAAAGTTTCAGCTTTCTATCTATAATAGAAAAAAAGTTATGACCTTTCAAAGTTTTCCAAAATCTAAATCATAAGGTAGGTACCTTCTTACTAAAACGATGAAATTTCAAATTTTTTTTTGTCATGATTTTGTATCCTAATGGTCAATCAATATACCCCAAACTCCATACAGTGAATTATTCTCAGATTTGAAGCCGAAATCTATGAAAAAAGGCACTCAGAAAAATTGAAAAATTGATAAACCACCCCAAATTGCTTAACACAATTTTATCTCAGGAATTATAAGTGCAATTGAGTTGAAATTTTCAGGGATTGTAGTCCTTTGAAAGGGATAAAATTCAGTGAAAGTTTCAGCTTTCTATCTATAATAGAAAAAAAGTTATGACCTTTCAAAGTTTTCCAAAATCTAAATCATAAGGTAGGTACCTTCTTACTAAAACGATGAAATTTCAAATTTTTTTTTGTCATGATTTTGTATCCTAATGGTCAATCAATATACCCCAAACTCCATACAGTGAATTATTCTCAGATTTGAAGCCGAAATCTATGAAAAAAGGCACTCAGGAAAATTGAAAAATTGATAAATCACCCCAAATTGCTTAACACGATTTTATCTCAGGAACTATAAGTGCAAACGAGTTGAAATTTTCAGGGATTGTAGTCCTTTGAAAGGGATAAAATTCAGTGAAAGTTTCAGCTTTCTATCTATAATAGAAAAAAAGTTATGACCTTTCAAAGTTTTCCAAAATCTAAATCATAAGGTAGGTACCTTCTTACTAAAACGATGAAATTTCAAATTTTTTTTTGTCATGATTTTGTATCCTAATGGTCAATCAATATACCCCAAACTCCATACAGTGAATTATTCTCAGATTTGAAGCCGAAATCTATGAAAAAAGGCACTCAGAAAAATTGAAAAATTGATAAACCACCCCAAATTGCTTAACACAATTTTATCTCAGGAATTATAAGTGCAAATGAGTTGAAATTTTCAGGGATTGTAGTCCTTTGAAAGGGATAAAATTCAGTGAAAGTTTCAGCTTTCTATCTATAATAGAAAAAAAGTTATGACTTTTCGAAGTTTTCCAAAATTTAAATCATAAGGTAGGTACCTTCTTACTAAAACGATGAAATTTCAAATTTTTTTTTGTCGAGATTTTGTATCCTAATGGTCAATCAATATACCCCAAACTCCATACACTGAATTGCTCTCAGATTTGAAGCCGAAATCTATGAAAAAAGGCACTCAGAAAAATTGAAAAATTGATAAATCACCCCAAATTGCTTAACACGATTTTATCTCAGGAACTATAAGTGCAAACGAGTTGAAATTTTCAGGGATTGTAGTCCTTTGAAAGGGATAAAATTCAGTGAAAGTTTCAGCTTTCTATCTATAATAGAAAAAAAGTTATGACCTTTCAAAGTTTTCCAAAATCTAAATCATAAGGTAGGTACCTTCTTACTAAAACGATGAAATTTCAATTTTTTTTTTGTCGAGATTTTGTATCCTAATGGTCAATCAATATACCCCAAACTCCATACAGTGAATTATTCTCAGATTTGAAGCCGAAATCTATGAAAAAAGGCACTCAGGAAAATTGAAAAATTGATAAATCACCCCAAATTGCTTAACACGATTTTATCTCAGGAACTATAAGTGCAAACGAGTTGAAATTTTCAGGGATTGTAGTCCTTTGAAAGGGATAAAATTCAGTGAAAGTTTCAGCTTTCTATCTATAATAGAAAAAAAGTTATGACCTTTCAAAGTTTTCCAAAATCTAAATCATAAGGTAGGTACCTTCTTACTAAAACGATGAAATTTCAAATTTTTTTTTGTCATGATTTTGTATCCTAATGGTCAATCAATATACCCCAAACTCCATACAGTGAATTATTCTCAGATTTGAAGCCGAAATCTATGAAAAAAGGCACTCAGAAAAATTGAAAAATTGATAAACCACCCCAAATTGCTTAACACAATTTTATCTCAGGAATTATAAGTGCAATTGAGTTGAAATTTTCAGGGATTGTAGTCCTTTGAAAGGGATAAAATTCAGTGAAAGTTTCAGCTTTCTATCTATAATAGAAAAAAAGTTATGACTTTTCGAAGTTTTCCAAAATTTAAATCATAAGGTAGGTACCTTCTTACTAAAACGATGAAATTTCAAATTTTTTTTTGTCGAGATTTTGTATCCTAATGGTCAATCAATATACCCCAAACTCCATACAGTGAATTATTCTCAGATTTGAAGCCGAAATCTATGAAAAAAGGCACTCAGGAAAATTGAAAAATTGATAAATCACCCCAAATTGCTTAACACGATTTTATCTCAGGAACTATAAGTGCAAACGAGTTGAAATTTTCAGGGATTGTAGTCCTTTGAAAGGGATAAAATTCAGTGAAAGTTTCAGCTTTCTATCTATAATAGAAAAAAAGTTATGACTTTTCAAAGTTTTCCAAAATCTAAATCATAAGGTAGGTACCTTCTTACTAAAACGATGAAATTTCAAATTTTTTTTTGTCGAGATTTTGTATCCTAATGGTCAATCAACATCCCCCAAACTCCAGACACTAAATTATTCTTAGATTTGAGGCCGAAATCTATGAAAAAAGGCACTCAGAAAAATTGATAAATCACCCCAAATTGCTTAACACGATTTTATTTCAGGAACTATAAGTGCAAATGAGCTGAAATTTTCAGAGATTGCAGTCCTTTGAAAGGGATAAAATTCAGTGAAAGTTTCAGCTTTCTATCTATAATAGAAAAAAAGTTATGACCTTTCAAAGTTTTCCAAAATCTAAATCATAAGGTAGGTACCTTCTTACTAAAACGATGAAATTTCAAATTTTTTTTTGTCATGATTTTGTATCCTAATGGTCAATCAATATACCCCAAACTCCATACACTGAATTATTCTCAGATTTGAAGCCGAAATCTATGAAAAAAGGCACTCAGGAAAATTGAAAAATTGATAAATCACCCCAAATTGCTTAACACGATTTTATTTCAGGAACTATAAGTGCAAATGAGCTGAAATTTTCAGAGATTGCAGTCCTTTGAAAGGGATAAAAATCAGTGAAAGTTACAGCTTTCTATCTATAATAGAAAAAAAGTTATGACCTTTCAAAGTTTTCCAAAATCTAAATCATAAGGTACGATGGCGCATCAAGAGCATTAGTTCAGAATTTTATTTTAATTTCTCCTCTGTAAAATCAAAGTAGAGAAAATTGTTTGTCAACCCTGCAAAATCCAAACCGACCGATAAAAATTACGCCTCACATAACACCAGCACCATTTACTTAGAATTAATCCATAGTGGCTACTTGAAAATTCAGGCAACAGACGAAAATTGAAACCTTTTTAGCATGAGAAAATATGGAGCCTCTACACACATGAACATTTTATAGGCGACACGGAGTTTGTGTAAGAAAATCAATATAGAAAGGATTTATTGGACAGTTTCGGTTTACATAGATGCATCCATCACCACGAGATTTATCACATGACGACATTATTTTATGAGATTTCAGCTAAATAATTTTCAAAGAGAGTTTCCAAAAAAAAAAACAGTAAACACGGCTTTACGGTCCATCTAACACTTCCAATCGATTTACAGGATATCCGACTATGGTGAAAAGGGGAGGCCGCTGCAAAGTGCAATATTTTCAACCAAACATAAAAAGATTAAATTCTTTTGCCTCTTTAGGGTTCAACTATACAATAGAATACACTTTTGTAATTTATGTATTCCGTAAAGTTTAATTAAAGTGGTAACAAAATATTTTCAATGTTTCAACGGCTAATAAAATTAACTTACCGTGAATATGGTCGGAAACAGCCTGCTCCTGACACCTGAAAAACAAAAAAGAAAGTTAAAATTATTATTATTTTCAAACTCAAATTAATGACCGCAAGGATTGATGTAAAATTAATTATCCTCTATGGCAATTGATTAATTACTGAACCTGGGACCTAGCGAACAGGAAACAGGAATAACTAAAAAGTTAATTAAACATTTCCGTATTTTGGAACTGCTAATTCAAGCTAGCTTGAATTTGAATAATGTTCATTAAAAAATCATCACCCTGTATCACAACACATTGAATTCATATTATTTTATATATTTTCAACAAACAAAATTTAAATTTAAAATATAAAATTTCAATAAACAATTGCTTCCATATATGCATAATCCTTTTCGCTGCAAATGCACCACAATATAAAACATTTTAATGTTATTATTTTTAGCAAAAATAATTTTAGATAATAAATGAGATAAACGAATAAAGTAGGCAAACAAACATAAAATTCCAATGTCTGGAACAAATTTCATTGTACCCCCCTAAGCTTGACAGTAGTCTTCCAATAACACTTTGAATTTGAATACTCCAAACTGCCAATGAATGAAATTTATATTGGAAAATTCCAGATTGGAAAATTGGACGTAGAATATTTCATTCCAAACATGAAAATTTGCCAAAATGAAACTCAAGCAAATAAAAAATTCCAATTAATTTCCCTGTCTGCTAGGTTATATGAACCATTTTAATTAAATTTACCTCTTGAAACTGGTGTATTGAAAAGTTAATATTTGATGTACCGCTTTGCAAATAAACCAATCAATATTCATTCAAGGGCAAAATACAAGTGTTTTTATTTTAATTTGTCAATCAATTTTATTATCAAGGGCGCAATTAAAAAAAATCCTGAAGTTTTTTTTTGCATAAATAAATTGGTGTGGGTTGGTAATGAGTCCCAGATTCCATTTCGACGAAGTGCGAAAAGGACCTAGAGCGGCGAGGTTATTGAAAGGGCATCTGAGAATAGATTTTAATTCGTCGAGGTCACACCTGCTGGTGGAAATATATTTGAGGGATTTTGAAGGAATTGAGAAAAAAATAATCATTCGAAGAGCCTGGAATGGCCTAAAATAAGTGGGAAGAAACAATTTTTTTTATTCCAGAGGCTCTTGAAATTTCTTTCCTCTTTTTGGTCCAGAAATTGAGTGAAAAAGTTATAATTGCACAGTCTTTCTTCAACTTTCTCCAGTCTTTTAGTTTAAGGAATTGAGATACTTATTCCAAAAGCCTGGGCAAAAATTGAAACAAAAATAAATGGGAAACCTTGAGTGGGGGGAACAATTTTTTCGTTTCAGGCTCATGAAATTTCTACAATCTTTCGGGTCTAGAAATTAAGAGAATAAAGCGAGTAATAAAATAATAATTCCAGACTTCTCTCAATAAGATAAAACAAATTTAGTTATAACATTTTTTCTAATTCAAATGGAAAATTTCATGAAAAATTGTTTTGACAGGCTGTCAAACATAAGCCAATTTTTTGTGCAACTTCAAAGTTTCAAAAATCATAAATTAAAGCCTTCCCCATAAGATAAAACAAATTTGAAATCGATATTTGGTTTAGAAGCAAAGTTATGACATTTTTCCTAATTCAACTTGGAAAAATTTATGAGAAATTGTTTTGACAGGCTGTCAAACATAAGCCAATTTTTTGTGCAACTTCAAACTTTCAAAAATCATAATTTGAAACCTTCCCCATAAGATAAAACAAATTTGAAATCGATATTTGGTTTAGAAGCAAAGTTATGACATTTTTTCTAATTCAACTTGGAAAAATTTATGAGAAATTGTTTTGACAGGCTGTCAAACATAAGCCAATTTTTTGTGCAACTTCAAAGTTTCAAAAATCATAAATTAAAGCCTTCCCCATAAGATAAAACAAATTTGAAATCGATATTTGGTTTAGAAGCAAAGTTATGACATTTTTTCTAATTCAACTTGGAAAAATTTATGAGAAATTATTTTGACAGGCTGTCAAAGATAAGCCAATTTTTTGTGCAACTTCAAAGTTTCAAAAATCATAAATTAAAGCCTTCCCCATAAGATAAAACAAATTTGAAATCGATATTTGGTTTAGAAGCAAAGTTATGACATTTTTTCTAATTCAACTTGGAAAAATTTATGAGAAATTGTTTTGACAGGCTGTCAAACATAAGCCAATTTTTTGTGCAACTTCAAAGTTTCAAAAATCATAAATTAAAGCCTTCTCCATAAGATAAAACAAATTTGAAATCGATATTTGGTTTAGAAGCAAAGTTATGACATTTTTTCTAATTCAACTTGGAAAAATTTATGAGAAATTGTTTTGACAGGCTGTCAAACATAAGCCAATTTTTTGTGCAACTTCAAAGTTTCAAAAATCATAAATTAAAGCCTTCTCCATAAGATAAAACAAATTTGAAATCGATATTTGGTTTAGAAGCAAAGTTATGACATTTTTTCTAATTCAACTTGGAAAAATTTATGAGAAATTGTTTTGACAGGCTGTCAAACATAAGCCAATTTTTTGTGCAACTTCAAAGTTTCAAAAATCATAAATTAAAGCCTTCCCCATAAGATAAAACAAATTTGAAATCGATATTTGGTTTAGAAGCAAAGTTATGACATTTTTTCTAATTCAACTTGGAAAAATTTATGAGAAATTATTTTGACAGGCTGTCAAACATAAGCCAATTTTTTGTGCAACTTCAAAGTTTCAAAAATCATAAATTAAAGCCTTCCCCATAAGATAAAACAAATTTGAAATCGATATTTGGTTTAGAAGCAAAGTTATGACATTTTTTCTAATTCAACTTGGAAAAATTTATGAGAAATTGTTTTGACAGGCTGTCAAACATAAGCCAATTTTTTGTGCAACTTCAAAGTTTCAAAAATCATAAATTAAAGCCTTCTCCATAAGATAAAACAAATTTGAAATCGATATTTGGTTTAGAAGCAAAGTTATGACATTTTTTCTAATTCAACTTGGAAAAATTTATGAGAAATTGTTTTGACAGGCTGTCAAACATAAGCCAATTTTTTGTGCAACTTCAAAGTTTCAAAAATCATAAATTAAAGCCTTCCCCATAAGATAAAACAAATTTGAAATCGATATTTGGTTTAGAAGCAAAGTTATGACATTTTTTTCTAATTCAACTTGGAAAAATTTATGAGAAATTGTTTTGACAGGCTGTCAAACATAAGCCAATTTTTTGTGCAACTTCAAAGTTTCAAAAATCATAAATTAAAGCCTTCTCCATAAGATAAAACAAATTTGAAATCGATATTTGGTTTAGAAGCAAAGTTATGACATTTTTTCTAATTCAACTTGGAAAAATTTATGAGAAATTGTTTTGACAGGCTGTCAAACATAAGCCAATTTTTTGTGCAACTTCAAAGTTTCAAAAATCATAAATTAAAGCCTTCCCCATAAGATAAAACAAATTTGAAATCGATATTTGGTTTAGAAGCAAAGTTATGACATTTTTTCTAATTCAACTTGGAAAAATTTATGAGAAATTGTTTTGACAGGCTGTCAAACATAAGCCAATTTTTTGTGCAACTTCAAAGTTTCAAAAATCATAAATTAAAGCCTTCCCCATAAGATAAAACAAATTTGAAATCGATATTTGGTTTAGAAGCAAAGTTATGACATTTTTTCTAATTCAACTTGGAAAAATTTATGAGAAATTGTTTTGACAGGCTGTCAAACATAAGCCAATTTTTTGTGCAACTTCAAAGTTTCAAAAATCATAAATTAAAGCCTTCCCCATAAGATAAAACAAATTTGAAATCGATATTTGGTTTAGAAGCAAAGTTATGACATTTTTTTCTAATTCAACTTGGAAAAATTTATGAGAAATTGTTTTGACAGGCTGTCAAACATAAGCCAATTTTTTGTGCAACTTCAAAGTTTCAAAAATCATAAATTAAAGCCTTCTCCATAAGATAAAACAAATTTGAAATCGATATTTGGTTTAGAAGCAAAGTTATGACATTTTTTCTAATTCAACTTGGAAAAATTTATGAGAAATTGTTTTGACAGGCTGTCAAACATAAGCCAATTGTGCAACTTCAAAGTTTCAAAAATCATAAATTAAAGCCTTCCCCATAAGATAAAACAAATTTGAAATCGATATTTGGTTTAGAAGCAAAGTTATGAAATTTTTTCTAATTCAACTTGGAAAAATTTATGAGAAATTATTTTGACAGGCTGTCAAACATAAGCCAATTTTTTGTGCAACTTCAAAGTTTCAAAAATCATAAATTAAAGCCTTCCCCATAAGATAAAACAAATTTGAAATCGATATTTGGTTTAGAAGCAAAGTTATGACATTTTTTCTAATTCAACTTGGAAAAATTTATGAGAAATTGTTTTGACAGGCTGTCAAACATAAGCCAATTTTTTGTGCAACTTCAAAGTTTCAAAAATCATAAATTAAAGCCTTCTCCATAAGATAAAACAAATTTGAAATCGATATTTGGTTTAGAAGCAAAGTTATGACATTTTTTCTAATTCAACTTGGAAAAATTTATGAGAAATTGTTTTGACAGGCTGTCAAACATAAGCCAATTTTTTGTGCAACTTCAAAGTTTCAAAAATCATAAATTAAAGCCTTCTCCATAAGATAAAACAAATTTGAAATCGATATTTGGTTTAGAAGCAAAGTTATGACATTTTTTCTAATTCAACTTGGAAAAATTTATGAGAAATTGTTTTGACAGGCTGTCAAACATAAGCCAATTTTTTGTGCAACTTCAAAGTTTCAAAAATCATAAATTAAAGCCTTCCCCATAAGATAAAACAAATTTGAAATCGATATTTGGTTTAGAAGCAAAGTTATGACATTTTTTCTAATTCAACTTGGAAAAATTTATGAGAAATTATTTTGACAGGCTGTCAAACATAAGCCAATTTTTTGTGCAACTTCAAAGTTTCAAAAATCATAAATTAAAGCCTTCCCCATAAGATAAAACAAATTTGAAATCGATATTTGGTTTAGAAGCAAAGTTATG